AACCAGTAAATTGCATAATATATGTAACACAAAAAATAATGAAATATTTTCAACTTTGAGGTCTAGTACCATGGTGCCTGTAATATTAGGATATGATACATAATGGGCACATCTACACATTGCCCTACAGTGATGTTGTTCCTGCACCATGCTTTAGTACTTCCTTTTGGAAGTACTAAAGCATGGCACAGGAACCACCTGTACTATGCCATGCATGCAGTGCACAGCTAGTTTTAGCCACTACTTCGCCACAGTGGTGTGCTAAAACAGGGAAGTGTGCTGTTATGGCAAAGTAGCTGCTGGTCACATGTAGACTCACACGATCGCTTTGTTGCCATAGCATGTCAGATGGCAATGTAGCACATCATTATGGTGACATGGGGTGACATGTTAGATGCACCTCATGTTTGCTTATCAGAAACTGAAGAATACTATCATAAAGGAACAGACCCCATTGCTTCCTCCTTTTACCCAAATCTGGTACCATCCTGCTCTTTCTGGCATTATTCAGAATTTTGCCATAGATTCCCAGAGGAGCAGAACCAGTACCGGTGCAAGGCTGAGGCAAGCAGGGTAACCACTCAGGGCTCAGAAGCAAATGGGCACCAACAGGCACTGCCCAGCCAGGGTGAGTCGCAGGATGGAGCTGCAAGAGGCTCATTTGGCAGGGCACAGGGATGGGAGGAAAGCACCTGCCACTGCTGCGTGCACTCCCGGGCAAGCATGGGGAAGCATGTGCCCCCTGGATCTGTGCATGGGGTGAGGGCAGGCTGCTGCTGTAGGCTTTGCCCTGGGTGCCAGACTTCATTGCTATGGCACTGAGCAGAACTGAGATCATAATATGCAAATGGATCACTACAGGTTGGCTACAGGAAAGCTGACAGCTATTGTACACTTCAAAATCATTCAGGCAGGAATATCATCCAAGACAGATAAGGAACTATTCAATTGCATTTGTCTTCAAGCACTTGTATCAGTGTTGTTATGTTACGCTGTTTTAAGATTTATAAAACATCTGAACTGATTATTGAGAAACCATTTTTTGTATCACCATGCAGAATGCCAAGAGCGATTCTCCGCTTGCAGAAACATAAGGTCTATGTTGTTCAATGTCCAGGAATAGGTAGCCAAGAGTCTGGTGTTCTAATAAATTTGTTACAAGGAACATTAAAAGGAATGACCACTTGGATATATTGGACAACTGACATATACCAGTAAGAAAACAGAAAATGTCCCATGCTAAAGAGGGAACCAAACATTATGAAACAAGTAAAATTCAGTGGATGCCTAGATACTAAAAATAAAAATGCCCCATCAAGTACAGCAGTTTGGGAATTAAAGTGAGGCAATCTTGGCTCTGGGATACCCTGCAGAATTAGTGGCATATTCTTGAACAGAATCAGGGTTGACAGTATAGGTAGATCACATAGGCAGCTAAAACCCTGCATTTTCACAGGTGGTCACCCTTATGTGCCCAGGACCTAAGCTCAGGAAAAACTATGGTGGAGGCTGGTTAAGGACTGATTCTATCACCCACGCTGATGCCAAGACACCACCTACTAGCTGGGGAAGGGGTTATTGAAAACCATCCCTTTTCACCAGGATTTGGGTCCAGAAACGCCCACATCAGTACTACTCTGGTGTTGCTACTGTCCTGTACCAGCCAGCGGAGCTTCTGAGGGGTAGGAAGTGCCTAATATGGGTGGTGGGAAATTGAGTGGTAGCCCTGGGAAGCACAGTCTCAATTCCATATTACTTGGGGAAGTTGTGTGATAGCAAGCATACACTAAGCAAAGAGCACTGCCAACTGCATCCAATGAGACAGAGGTAGCCATTGTTGCACAATGCACATGCCAGGACAGTAACCATTTTATCTCAGTGTCTTAACAAGGGAAGATTGGCTATCCCAGTTGTGTAATCTTTTTATGTAAACTTTTTTATGGTATATCTAGCTTTTGCAAACTATATCTAACTAAATACTTAAGGCAACTTGAAGATGCTGGGAGGGGTGTGGTATGTGTGTGTTAAGAGATGCTTGCAGAGCACAGCATGTGGGATGCGGAGGATTCCTGGAATGCCTCCCTAACACCAGCAGGATAATGTCTCCCTGACACTTGTAAGATAGCAAGAAGTTCAGAAAAAGGTCTCATTATAATGCTAAAAATCACACCCCTGGGCAGGGCAAAAGTATGTTAATGAAACATATATGTATGTAAATGAATTACATGGCTAAAACATAGGTATAGGGACATGCTCAGTAGAGAACGTCTTATGTCAGTGGCTTGTAACCAATCACTGAGCGATACACTTGCAAACATATGTATAAAAGGTACCCAAAGGTAGAAACCGGTGGTGCTTGCTTTGCAAACGATTGCCAAGCACCCCTCTCTGCGCAGACTGGAAACAATAAAGATTAAGTTGGACCCTCCACCCCTGTGTGTTCATTGGCAATAGCGCACCGGGCACGAACTCACACTGTCCATTGGGGACAACACCAGCAGAACTCTGTGTAATGTCTGTAACTAGATTAACAAAGGATGTTGCAGGGCAGAACTGGTGTTCATTGCTAGAGCTGCATGGGCAATCTATGATGGGTGTAGGAAGGAGCCATATGGCAATTCAAAAGCAAGGGGAAATAAAATATAGATTTAGAAGTAGAAATAGAATAGGAGAAGGTGCTGCCGCCTATGAAGGTTGGGACATATGAAGGAGATGGGAGGAGAAGGAGGATTGGAACAGCTGAGATGGGACAGGTTACAATTCAGGTGCATTCAAAACTATGCAGAAAGGGTCCTGGCCTGGTTAGGATGAAGGTGCAGTGACATATCAGGGTTAATCCTTATTCAGAGGAATAAAAACAAAATGTAGAGTTTGTGAGTTGTGAGTTTGGGGCTGCCATGGTCAGGATTAAATTGCCCCGTAAGGCTGTCATCAATATCTTGGTGCATCTGGAAGAGATTGTGCTATTCTTTTTGCCTCCAACTTGAAAACTCCTCCTTCAACCTCAAAACAAGGTTCAGTTTACTATGTCATGACCTAGAGCAAGAGAAAGAATGAATGGAATAATCTAATGAGATAATGAAATGAACAATTAAAATACTGCCCTGAAGCAGAGGGGCTGTTGGTTGTAGCTCTGTTGATCTAAAGACATAGGCAGACAAGGTTCTTTGGATAGATGTGATATTGTTTATTAGACCAACTACATAGTTGGAAAAATAGTTCTTTGCAAGCTTTCAAGCATAAACACTTTTCTTCAGGAAGGAGAGATTTGCATTATGACTGAAATTAGCATGATTTGCTCTATTTTTGTTATGCTGAATTACTGCCATGATCACTAACATGCCTTGCAGTTTCTTTCATTGCTGGAGGTTTTCTTTAAGTATATTTTTATCTTCTCGAGTAACAGCCCTGGCTTAGAAATTTCTGCTTCAGGGCAGATGTGCTGTGTTTTATTAGACCAACTAAATAGCTAGAAAAATTGTTTTTAGTTAGTTTCATTATCTACATAATACAATTCTGCCTATGTCCTTAGACCAACACAACTACACCAACAACCTCCCTGCTTCAGGGCAGTGCTTTTATGTTGGTTTCATTATCTCATTAAACTATTCCATTCATTCTTTTGTACCCAAAAGATTGCAAAGAAAATTTTTTCCAACTATTTAGTTGGTCTAATAAAAAATAGCACATCTGCCCTGAAGTAGAAACTTTTAAGCCAGGACTGTTACTTAAGAAGAAAAAATATATATACCCAAAGAAAACCTCCAGCAATGAAGGAAACTGCAAGGAATGTTAGTGATCATCAGGGATCCTGGTTTTCTCTGCTGGACGCACACCTTTCTGGGGTTATATGACCCCAGCAGTTTTTCCTACCCAGAGCAGGGGTGGCTAGAACCCATGATCTCACAAGGTCCCTTCCAGCCCTAAACTTCCATGAATCTGTGTGAATCTGTGTAAATCCCCAATTTTCAGATTCAAAAAAGTAACCCAAAATCCACATTTTTCCATGATCAAAATGAAACACCACTAACACATATGTATATGCATTGGATTTTTTGACCTTGCCCCTGTGCCCCTCTCCTGCAGTTATTTCAGCAATCAGGGCACGGGGCTGAGAAGAGTGTTGGGAATTCAAAAAAAGTAACCCCAAATCCACATTTTTCCATGATTCAAATGCAACACCACTCATATATATAGTGGTGTTTCATTTGAATCATGGAAAAATGTGGATTTGGGGTTACCACTATAAAAAAGTAACCCCAAACTCGCATTTTCCCATGATTCAAATGCAACACCACAAAAAAAATCCCCAATTTTCAGTTTCAAAGAAGTAACCCCAAATCCACATTTTCCATGATTCAAATGCAACACCACTCATATACATAGTGGTGTTTCATCTTAATCCTGGAAAAATGTGGATTTGGGGTTACTTTTTAATAGTGCTGTTGCATTTGAATCATAGAAAAATGTGGATTCAGGGGGGCGGGGGGTTATACCAAAAATGGGGTTTTTTTGGTTTTAATCAGAGCAAGGCAGGATCCCTGGTGATCACAGCCATAACTCAACATGACAAAAATAGAGCACATGATGCTAATTTCAGTCAAAATACAAATCTCTCCTTCGTACAGGGAGACTAATTAGGTGGCAGGACTGAAATGGCATTTTATTTATTTATTTATTTATTTTTACAATTCGAGCCCAAATGCACAAAGCAGCAGAAAGAGAGAGAGAGAGGAGCACAAGACAGTAACCCCCACCCCTTTTTTTTTTTGCTACCCTGAATAATTCCCAAATGCCCCCTCCCGCTGCCCCTCTGGCCCCAGGCCCAGTGGGATACAATGTCAAGGCTTCTTTAGGCTCTGCTGGACTCCAGCCTGCTTCCCTTCGAAAGATCAGCCCGGGCCAATGGGAGAGCAAAGCGCTGCTGGGGGAGAGCCGGGATTGGCGCAGGAGCTCTGCTGATCACTGTGGAAACCCCATCAGTAATGAATGGAGGAGGATGCTGAGCAGGGGGGATGGGAGGCTGAGGTTCCCCCCGGGCAGGGCTGCAGGAGAGGGGAAAGTCCGCCAGTTCAGGGAAGAGCCGCCTAGAGGGCACTTCCGAGCAGGCAGCGCGGAGGGGAGGCTGCCCCGCCGGCGAGGAGGGAGAGGGGAGCAGAGACAAAGGGGAGGAGGGAGGAACGACATGAGAGAAGAAAAAGGGAGAGAACCGGGGATCAGCTGAACTCACCCAGGAAGGAAACCCGCCTCCCTTACAGGCCAGAGAGGGGGTGCAGCCAGGGACCGGGCAGTGTCTGCTTCTGGCCAAGGCAAAGCTGGCCCATGGGGAAAGGAGGGGAGAAAGGCGAGGAGACCGGGGAGCATGAGGCACAGATCCGCTTCTACAGCTGGGAGGAGATCCAGAAGCACAACCTGAAGACAGACAAGTGGCTGGTGATCGACAGGAAGGTCTACAACATCACCAACTGGGTGAGGAGGCACCCTGGGGGCCACCGCGTGATCAGCCACTATGCTGGCGAGGATGCCACGGTAAGGACAGCTGCGCTGGGCTCTCCCCACCAGAGTCACTGACGGCTGGGGTCCCCGCAGGGATTTACTCTTTGTGCTGCTGTCTCTCTGTCTCCCTGCCTGACACCTGCTCTACTTACAACTGATCTCTTTGGGAGCTTTAGCTCCAGGATGCAAAAAAAAACTGGAGGGGGAAAGGGCAAAGGAGGGGGGGGGGGCGATGTTGGTGTAAATTGGCATATAGGACTCCTGAATCCAAGTGATCTATGGATATAGCTCTTTTGAATCCAATGAGCTATGGTAATTGACAGGAGCTGACCACCCTGCTCTGGAGATTTGCTCTTTAAAGATTGCCAGGCACATGTGTTTCCCACTTTGTTTCCTGTTTGTAAGATGCTGCTAGTTGCTTCAGTGTTATGATCAAGGATTTCTCCTGGTTGAAATGGGTTGCTATAATCCAAAGAGGCTTTTGTGCGGATGGCAAGCTGCAGAGGTGGAACAGCAGGAGCTGTTTTGTAGTTCCCCAGGAGGGAGTCCTTTAGAGCTTTCTACCACAGGTTTGGGAGAAAAGTATCCATTTCTCCCTTTGCTGCTGCCACCAGGCAGAGCTGCTTCTTGCAGTTAACAGTTGGTTTCCTCGGTACCGTCTCACATTTCAGTCCCTCTCTGAAAAATGAGAGCTAAAAGGAGCACATCTACTATCCCTCTGTTGGCTGTAGTCTGGGTTTTCCCAAGCCACTGTCTCCAAAATTGCAGTCAGAGCATGTGCTCACAGGAGGGCATCACCCCACCCTTAATAATAATTATGCTGCACTGTAGCTCTTCAGAGAGTATGTACGCCAGAGATGACAAGGAGCAAGAAAGGACAACCATTCATTAACCATGATTTGTGAGCTCTTCTGCAGAAAGGAATGGTAGATGTGACAGAATTAGCATGAATCACTAACACCTGGCTATCCACCAATCTGTACTTGCTGCCAGTCACAGGCTCTGAGGTTATTACTGGTTATTTTCCTTAAAATACTGCGATGTGCCTTGCTGCATTATCTCCTTCCATCACAGCCTCTGAGGGAAATAAATGGTCCAAATTCTCCTTGCAGGTGCATCAGCGCACACCCACTGAAATCCAAGGGGCTGCACATGTGTAAAAGATTGGAGAATTTGGTTCAAATACATGCAGCTGTAAATCCAAGTGCATTTGGCCTTCTTGTCACTCTGAGAGAGAGAGATCTTGATGTGCATTTGTGGTTCCATCACTGGGCTGTTTCTCCCCCACTACAACCCATTCCACAGTTTTCAGAGAAACAAGCGCAGAAGGAGAGAGAATGATTTGAACGTAGCCCAAGATTTAGGTCCCCTTTCTCCTAAGCTGTGTTGCTCAAAGAGACTTGACGAAGCATTTGCTTTACAACTTTCCTATTTTAAAAGAAATCTTATGATTACAAAATAACCTAATTCAGGTGGAAAATGATGCCAAGACAAATGACAGCATTTTGTTTTGTGCTCCAGGAAATTGTGGTCCAGTGGGAACATGGAAGAGGTAGCAACAATGCTCCTCCCCCCCTCCCTCCCCCCATCCTGCAAAAAAAACCCCATAAGTCTGAAATGCAAATCTTATTTCTTGTTCTTATAAAATATCAGCCTTGGGGCACTCACAAAATTAACACCTAAACATACACCATAGGTTGCACTATGGCAACACACACTAATAGTGCCTTCACATGCATCACAGGTTACACACAGGCTACAACTCCCATCTCTGGAGATTAAAAATTGCTTAACTGACAGAGATCAAGACAACCCTTTCCCTCACTCCCACTAACATGTTCACACTGCCATGAACCTAACTGGACATCTCACTGGTGTCAGGCAGTCAAGACCTAGCTGTAGTACATCCAAATATCTTAGCACTTCTCAGAGTCCATCTTCTACCCCACCTTTCCTTACGTAAGGCATTGAGGGTGCCCTACAATCCCAGTATAGGACCTGAACTCATGACCTCCTAGCCTAAAAGAAATTGCACATGTAAGAGGTATATCTAATGAAAGGGCAACTCTGTCATCATCTTTATCTTGTCAAGAGATAAACTCAGTATTAAATATTCAGGAGATAGCATTCTTCATGCTTCTATGGCAGCATACTGAAACACTCCCCACTGCATATGTCAGTGACATGCCTACTCTTTATCAGCCATCCTTGAATAGAAGGACTCAATGAACCCACTTGCTGGGGTCTCCTTTGAGACATGTGCTAGGGTAGTGGGGAGGTGCAAGGTCAAAATGAAACCAGAGAGAAACCCTTTTGTTCTGACACTGTGCACGTGTGTACTTGCATTTCTAAACAGTTTCAGCTCCTTTCCCTTCCCTCTCATAGAAGCATGAAACAATCGAACATTGCTCAAAGTTTCAAAGCCTCTCCAAGACTCAAAGAAGGATCTGGAGCAGAGATGGAGGGAAAGCATCTTTCCCAGGACACTTTATGAGATGCTCACAATGTATTTAGGAAGTGCATTTTGAGGAAGTACAAAAGGAATTACCAGGCTAAATACAAGTGGATGAAAATACCTTCCAAGAGGCAGGAAGAAACTGTTTCTCTGAGCTGCCCCTCCATTAACATCAAGTGGCTCAGACAGAGACCGCTCCAAGGCTGTAATCAGGATGAGACCAAAGCATTCCTCAGAAGACACGCTAATTCCACTAGTTCATGGTATAAATGATACACATCTGACAGTCTGTCATTTCCCTTGTGGTCCAGGCCTTCCCTCTTGTCTTTTCCCCAGAATCTTTGCTCTGAGTCACTGACCTGGCAGCAAGGATCCTTGGATATCCATCCCAAATATTAATCCTTCTCACACCCCTTCTCCCAGGCATATCCCTCCATGACTGTTTGCCACACGGTGACACAGTGATGTGCACTGACAGGGAAGGCAGAACCCCGCATAAATTTGGCAGACTCGGTCTTTGTTCTTCCTCATGTCCAGGGCCTCAAAGGCACCTGAATAGAAACCTGGCCCTTTGCAAATAAGAAAATACTTATAGCCTTGGAAATATGGCAGACCACCATTGCTTAGACAAGCTTAATTTGTCCCCTGCCTCCTCCACCCCACTCCCCCATGAAGGGACCAGGAGTGTGCTTTAAACATAAATGAGGAGGAGGAAGTCTATTTTATGAATTTGCTGTGGCAACAGGTTTGAAAGCTAAAATCTAACAAGTGAGATTTTCTATTCAGGTAAGTGTTGTAGCCAGTATCTGAAAGGAGTCTAATTCAGGTAACCAGTTTTTTTTTCCATTAAATTCTGGGGGTATTAGCTTATTGCAAGGGTTTATCACATTAACTAGGAGCTTGGGAGATCTGGTTTCAAATCCCCACTCTGCTACAGCCTTTATGTTTGACTTTAGAAAAGGTCACTCAGCTTCTCCATACCTCAATATCCTCTATATGCAATGGTGATCATAGCTCTTCCCTACCTCATAGAGGTGTTGCAAGAATAAATGCATTAAAGATTGTGAAGAACACGTACTGTAGTGGGGGAGGCCATACAAGTACCTTTGTAGATATCTAAGTAGGTAAACTTAGAGACTCAAGACAAGGTGTCTTTGGCCTGGGGCAGAGAAAAGGAGAAGAGCTCAAAACCATTCCCAAGGTGCCCTTGGGAGGTTGTCCCAGTTTCAGCCATTAGTGTAGGTGTGCTGGTGTTAACTCTCAAATACATGCCAGGCAAGCTGCAGCTGGAATCAGCAGGACTCACTCTTATTTGATATCGAAGTAAGCTCTGCCAGTCTAAATCACAGCTTTCCTTGTCTACATAAGAGGATTATAGTGATGACTGAAACCAAGGCCAGCCCCTTATGTTACAAAGGCATAAACAGACCCAGTCTCACTGCAAATCATCTGCTACAGTAACAGGCTTTCCCTTTATTCCCCACTTGATCCCAAAAGGGGATTTTTTTTCAACACTCATTTGCAAGCTGCCCATTAAGGAGAGAGGTTTTCATTCCGTTGCTGAGGTAATAAGGGGTCAAGCTGCTCCCACAGCTAATTGGAAAGTCCAAATGCTACAAAAAATGTGCATTTTGTAAATCAAATTTATTCGGCATTGTGTCCTGCCTCCCTCAGTGCTCTTAGGCTGCTGCATGTTTACCTCTTTCC